TACATTCAATATAAAAAGTAAAAATATTGAATGTCACAAATTCTTTCCAATTTTCAAAAAACAGAAAGGTAAAATAACATTTCTCTAATCAATCATTCAACACGAAATCACTTTCGAAAATAGATAGTTGTAAACACATAGTTCCCTACAATCGACTTTCTAAATGTGAACGAAAATTTCGGAATACTTAAACACAGAATAAACTTAAATTTTTCCAATTATATCACGAACCAGTTATTACCTACACTACCCAAAAAATTAATTCACCTATTCCTACTAAAAATTGTCCCCATTTTTCCTAATATACAATCAGTATTCCGCGAGACTTAATGTCTCAAGGAAAACATCCCAATCCAAAGCTTGACCCAAAATCCTATCTTCAACCAACCCCCAAATCTAAAAACCCCAATTCTCGAATCGTCCAACCACGGTCTGTTTTTCACGGGACTCGTAGGTCATGGCTCTGCCAGACGTTGCACGCGTCCGTAATTCTGCCTATGCGAAGAAGAGCTCGGATGCAGCGGTAGGACAGGTCCGGCAAGTGCTCCGGGGGGAAAGTATCGTTGCATTTTGATCGCGGAAGATCGTTACTCCCGATCGAGGCTCGCCGCCACAGACTCTCGCACACAAACACGCCACCCAATACCCTACAGATCTACACATGTGAAAACCTACACGTGTACAGAGGCGTTCGGTATACGCGCGCTTACCTACGTGCATACATACAGTACGCCGGCTCAAAGTTAATCTGGATTAACCGGTCTTGAATTTTCTGTTGCGGGGAGGAGGGTCGGTCGCGCGATGTAGAACGTCCAGGCAACAGAGCATGGGGAAGCTGGTCTTGGTATAGGGCGGAGGGGAAGAGTGGACAAAAATCGAGATCAAAGAATTATGCCCTCTGGAGAGGCGCACCGGTTGCTGCACCGCCTCGTGCGCGCAACACTCGCGCTAGAGAACCGCGGTAGAGGAGCATTATACGCGCCATGGGATTGTGTATGGGATTCTTGTTCAGCTTGGCGGAAGAAGAAGGGGTCCCGCGGATACGTAACGATTGTATTTGTTTCGTCCTATTCAGTGAAGCATGAATGGCTCGGCAGCACTCTCAGCCTTGGACGTTAGACGTTTCCTTGCGTCATAGGTGTTGTTAATGATCCTGTTCCTCGCGTTCCGATTCCAGGTAAAAAGTGCAACTGTATGCAAGGAGGAGGCTGGATCGGATTCTTCGAGGGAATCTATAAAGGGTATCGATAAGGATGCGGAAATAGTTCTAGTTGTGTCTTCTTTTCCTTTTTTTTATTTGTATAGATCTTTGGATGCTACGCATTCTTTTAAGGGGTTGAAAAGGGTAGCTTGAGGTTTTCATTATTGGCGTTTGATGTTGGATATATTGAGAAGTAGGGAAATTTTTGGAGATGCATGTTAAAGTTGAAAAGTGTAGGATTTAAGTGACTTATTGAGAGCATGCAAGGTATTTTAGGATATTGCTTCTTCAGGAAGTTCAATGGAGGATCAAGTAATGTCCACAAATTTTTTTTTTTTTTTTTTCATAAAATAAATTGTGTAGGGTGCCGATAACCTATCTTTGTGTCAGATTGTGAACAAACGAATTACATCTGGCATTTATTTATATTTTCTAATTGAAATTCAATTAAACCTTAAAATTTGCAATTAAACCTCCCTAGGGTGAAGCAATTAATAAACAACAGTCCCACCTCCGGTTACTCTGTCAAATTACAATACGAATAAAAGAAGAAACAGTTACAAATAACAGTGAAAGAAAAAAAGGTGTAGCATTCTCGAATAATACGTTAAATCGCAAGATGGCGACGGGAGTGCAGCGATGCGTTCAAGAAATAGCTCGGCGATCAATGAATAGAAGGCGCGACGAAATTGATGCATCGCTGCCGTGCAGCTATTGCCGGCTGAAATATAGCATTGGCCGGCCGATAACTCGCAGAACGAATAGCCAGGAAGGGAAAAGTGACAGTTGTTTTTTCGGAAGTCCTTTCAGCGTCGCGAATGTGTAACGGTTCTCGCAGGACGAACGCTCGCGTGGTAACGAACCAGTTGCACTGTCAGGTTAATTTAATTGGTTCGATTAGAATGCATTCGCGTGCACGCGCGGACATTGCTTTACGCAGCTAGACCGCCGTGCTACGGTTATGCATGTTAACAACACAATTAACAACGCGTCGGATCGGTCTTCGAGCAGCCCGATATCTGAACAGTAGACGCATGTGTTTCAATTAGCTCGGTAGAATAGAACATTACTGTTACGCGTCTCACCATGTAATCGCGGTAATTTGGTGAACGTGTTGTAAATTACAATTAAGACGTAGAGCACATTGTATAGGCTGTGGAGTTTTCTTCTTTTTTGTTTTTAATAGCGAGTAACCATAATGTAAGCTTTACAATGGTGGGCTGTTGCTAGTATACTGACGATAGTAGATGTATTATGTTTGATTAGGTGTTTGTGAAATAAATTCGTTTTTTTTTTCTTGGAAATTTCTGTGTTATTTGAAAATTCTTTTTTCGCGCGCTTTATCAGTGATCATTATTTTCACCATGTCTGATTTAAGTCAATTTTTCATTTAATTTAATATTTCTTCTTTTTTTTCTTTTCGTTCGCAACTATCGATAATTTGTCTACACCCCGTTTATGTTATTTTGCACGCAAATTGGTCCCTATCCGTGGATAAAAATAACTAAATAGAAAATTAGAAGAAACTAAAATTTCTCTTCGACAAATTCAGTATTTAACAGTGAATCATTTTTGTTTTCTCTAATACATAAAATATTCCACGGAAATGGATTTTTTTCGGAAGAAATGGACTAGACTTTATTAAACTTGTTTGAAATTTTTTTTCGTCAACAGAGTCTAATTACAAAATTCCTTGACCGATCGTCTGGAAAGCAAAGTATAGTTGAACACTCTTGGAAATCTGGTGTAATTAGCAAAAGAGAGAAACACTCGTATAGAGCGCGAGAGGAAAGATCTATTTCGATGAGTTTAATGGACTCGAATTGGAATTCATTCGCGTGCATCGAGTCCGTGGAACTTTTCAATTTCGTTCGGTCGCTTTGAGTGTTGGCCTTTAATTTACCACCATTGATACTAAACTCGTGGAGAACGTCCGGTCGTCATTTGCCATTCGAACACCTTTTTCCACCGTGCTTTTCAGTTTCTTTATGACCGATGATGGGACAGAAAGTATATGGATACGCTTTGATAAACCTTCCGTTTGATTGCGATTTGACACGAAAGGATTGAACGAAAATTACGTACTTACTTACCTGCAATCACGGATATGTAATTTCGCTGAAATTTCTTCCGTTCGTTATTTTTGCCAGCTTAAAAAATTGAACATTACGATATACGAAATTATTGATTTCCTATAAACAGAGACCAGTTCTGTGTGATAATAATCCATACTATATCGTACATCATTATATTAGTAACACCGTGTATAATAATAATATCATTGATATTAATATAGATATTCATGCTGCTAATTCAATTACAGTGATCCGTATTATGGTCGTATTGAAAACAGAATATTTTTCCTTCATCTTCGTAAGATACAAGCAATAAATAAGTGGAATGCGAACGTCGTTCGATGGGAGGTTCCGGGTATAATGCGCGTCAAGAGGAAACGTCGCGATTCGTATTAATTATTCATGACGACAAGCGTTCGAAATAAAATTATAATCGGCTATTCATGCGTCACTGCGCCAAATCGGTTAGTAGATTCTTCCAGACACACGTGTACAATTTGCGAACGGAAGTGCCATTTCTGGCTCTGAGACGCCGGAAACGAGCGAACTGGTAATGAGCCGGACTGTACACGATCGAGACACGATGTTTGCTTATATTGCTAACATATGTAGATATTCCTTGTATTTATACAACATTAAGCGTTATTAGTACCTCATTATATGTATATATGCAGATACACAGGGTGAGCCACATGAAACATGCCACTTAATCTTCTGCAGCTATGATTATACGGGAAAATTTTGATGCGTAACTTAAATGCCTTCAGAGAGGGAAGAGAAATTTTTTCGATGGAAGAAATGGCAAAATAACGAAAGGAAATTTCACGTTTGATTTGAAATTTTAAGGTCATATTCTTATGCATGTTTAAATGCACGTCAATATTTGCTGCAACATACAGTAGAAAAAGATATATACATTCGTGTAAAAAAAAAAATAAGTGACCCTGAAAAGAGTTTTATAAAAAAATTATTCTTCCTTCTTTTTTACCTTTTGAAATCATTTAAATTACCTAAAAATTTAGGTAGTCTGTATAAAGAAAATTTTTCAAACTAGATTTCTGTTTCTTGCGTGTAAATTTTGCGTTTAATTATCCTTTAATTCTGGGAATATTTCGTATGTTAAAATAAAATGTTATTTATTAACATCGTAAATATTCCACGTATGCATGCACGTAGTGAACATTGATAAAACGTTGAAGGGTTTTCGTGGAAACGAATCTATTATACTGCATTCAGCGACGCGTGTACCCTTGCTGGAACACAATGGGGTTAAAGAACCTCTGATACGGCGTCAATTGATTAGCAATGGAGAACTACGCAGTAGCGTGGGTCGGCAGGTTGTCCTTTTTGAATTTGCAATCCTACGATCGTGTCTGCGTATGGTTATGTCCGCCTGTCTGCTACGCGCTTGCAGCGAGAATAAGCGATAGTAAAGTCTTGCTTGTCATCTGCGGTTATCACGATGCGTTGATGTTAGGCATTTATTCCGTTACTGTGCCCGCGAAAAGAATCATTAATCTGATACTTGGCGAAATTGTCTCTGAGAAAAGTCACTTTACGAGAAGAGACAGGAAAAAAAAAAGAAGAAAGAATAAATATGCTAGTCTCTCGCGAAAAAATTTGTTCAGATTAATGTAGTTTTTCAGTGAAGAACGAATTGGTTAATAAAACAACGAAACGAACTTAACAATTTAGGATTAATAATTGTAATAATTTATTGCGGTACTTATATCGATATTTGATATTCTGGATTGCTGAAAAATTGTCACATGTCAAGTGCCTTTACCGTATGGAGAATAGGCATTGGTATTGAAACAATATGGACCAAATCTGAAAGAAATTATACGTAAATATAGATTATGTCGTAAATTTTAACGTATTCAGACGAGAGAATTTTATTCACATGTTCTTTGGAGTGGAATCACCGAAATAAACTTCCCTGTCATCTTTCCCGTTCTCCATTATTTTATCGAAACACTTGTGCGCAGGAAACGCTTTAGGATTCTTCAGAGACTCCGCGTATATCTTGACGGATCTCTGATGGCTGCACAATTCTTCCAGCGGAGATATGTAATTTTCATAAAAATCATTACTTAGAAAATAATATTACACATAGTATGAAACAATCGATAAAAAATCAAATCTAAATCTAACTAAATATCAAATTGCAAAATTTCAATTTTTATCCTTAACAAGATGAAGAAAAAGACGGAATAAACGAGGAATATCTAACGTGAAAAGTGTGTTTTATCGGTATATAACATATCTTTCTTTCTTCAACTATTTTGCAGTTCGCGATTGATGAAAACGATCGGGTAGAGTAAACAACGTTAAGGAGATCGGTTTTATAAATTACAAAGATAACCGGTTATTGAGTTGTAAATGGTATATTCGTTCGCTATTAAAATTTCCTATATTCTATCGGTGACGAGCCCATCGGATTATCTTAACGGACGAGCATTATGATTTACCTCCGCCGATGATTATGGGACAACCTGGTTGTAGACTGATTCCTCTGTTCGCGTAAAAATCAACGGACCCCGTGTCGATAGGCGTACCATAAAATCCACCATCAGTGTGAAGGATAACGACAGCCTCCGCGTCGCTCGATTTAATGTGACACGCAGAGGGATAAAACAGCGGAAGCGCTGGATCTAAGCCTATACACCAATAGATCATAATTTATAGAATCTTTTGCTTATTAATTAATACATATTAATGCAAAACCGTTAGTGATGCGGTGTTTTATTATTCGTACTTATTTTTCATTACTATTATCGCGAGTCGACGTCACGGAAACGGAACTTCTTTTAATAATCAGGTTATTTTCGATGGATTGTGATTTGTAGTAGAAAGATTCCGTGTTACTTTAATTTTGAAATGGTGCGCAATCGATTGTTTCGAATGATAATCATCTTTTTATTTTTCTAATAATTCCACTTGTTTTGGAATCAGTCTCATTTTTCTCAATTTTGCACCAATGAATTTGTTTTTAGATTATTTGGAAGCTTAGTAAAAAATGATATTTCTATTTTCTCTAAATTTACTTCGATATTTAGATAAAGTCAACTTGTTCGTTTACAAGAATAACTTCTTTTTCTTCAATTAAAATTATACGTTAATTATTATAAAAAATATCAATTTTGTTGCAATTTTTGAAAATTAAGTATCTACGAAAATGTGCTAATTATCCGTGAATTTCTGCCTCACTCGCCTCGGTTTCTCTCAAAATCTTCCTCGACTAACTACTTACCCGTTATTCGGCTAAGAGTGACATTCGTGTATCTCCCGATATGGCCAGCCACGTGAGCGCCCAAAGAGTGCCCGATCACGTGCAGCGTGTTCAAATTGATCACTTCGACGAGTTTCTCAAGGGATTCAGCCAGTGCCTTTCCTACAGCAGCTACTTGACTGGCCACGTAAAAGTAGTTAATGTCAATTGCTACGTCACCCCAATCGACCAGGATCACATTCACGTCCCCCTTGTCCAGATAGGCTGGAAACACGAAACCATAAAGTCAATCGTCTCATTTTCCAATCGCTTCCACTACCTTTTTGCATCGCGTGATAGTAATACCTCTAATTATTATCTGCACGTTGTCCGCTTCCGTGTTCTCCATAAACCCGTGTATGTAAAGGATGGTGTTTCTGTCGGGCAAGACGGCCGCCCTGATGCTTCCTGGATTCGCCAGTGTGCTCTCGATGTACGTGAAACGAGAACTGTTACTGTAATTGTGAATATTATTCCAAATAGAATAATTCTACGTTCGTTAAATTTATCAAAAATCCATATGAAAAATGTTTATTCGAACAGTTGTTCATACTGAAGAGTATACAGGCGCGTCGAATGAAAAAGTTAGGAAATAATATTAAAATCCGAAAATTAGGAAAATATATTAATAATATTAGAAAATAGTAATGGAAAAAGTAACTTAAAACAATATGTGTTTCAAAAGCCTGTAAAGGCACATTTACGATTCTGCAATCGTATACAGAATTTTGCAGTTGAACATGAAGTTCATCGAAAATAATACTAAATCACCAAGTTTCACGAACCCCTTGTAAGCCAGTAGGCGAATTCTCGCGACAGCACTAGGATTATTGTCTTCGTCACCTGCACAATAAACTGCACAATAAACCGCACTGTGAATCGATCACGTTCGTAAAATGTGTCGAAGGAAAAATTAATTGGTACATACATATTCCCGCGTCAGCGATGTCTTTGCACATGAAATACAATAGTAAACAAATGTAAGAGCATATTCTTAACATTTTTAGCTGAAATTAATGGAACTATGTATACTACGCGTTCGATAATTTCCAATGGAGCGTGTCCATGCTTTATTCGTGATATTCTCGCGGGTTATGAAATAGATCGGAAAATCTTCGACCATATATAAAGTACCCTCTCCGAGAGGATATCACGTAACGAGGAAGGAATAAAGAAATATTATTTCGATCTAAGGCAAACACGTCATTGACAGATCATACAACACGATAAGACAAGTCTAGTGTATAGGATGCTAGTGTAACGAGCTGAAAATACCGGGTGTCCTAGCAGTACACGAACATCTAATTTATCTCCTTTGTTTTTAACGATACTGGAAAATGTTTCAGACATATTCTGTACAGTTTCGAAAGAAGAACACGAATTTCTTCAATTTGGTATCTTTTCGAATTTTTCGAGGTCTCCGATATTTTTTTACAGTAAAGCATATATTTTTTTTTAATTGTATCGTGTAGCGGGTGTTAAAACACATTCGAACATTTCTGAGTTATGAGAAAAAGTGGTCAAAATTCAAGATAGTGTTAAGATGGGATGTGAAATTACTGTTTATGTTGACAAATGCTTAAAATGATATTCACTAGTGGAGATACATTTTCTGAAACGAAGAATCGTGAATTATGATGCTCTTTTGATTATTTATGAAGTAATAACATCATAATCTTTAATTATTCGTTGAATGTATTGAGTTGCTGTTTTGGAATTTGATCGTCTTTTTGGTGTTCATGGTCAATTTATGGTCGTAATTTAAACATGCTTTACTACAAAAAATACTGTTGACCTTGAAATATTGGAAAAAATGATCCTGGAAGAAAATTTGTTCTCGCGCCGTATTTCTCCTTCGAAATCATTCAGATTATGTCTGAAACAACTTCCAGTAAAGGAGATACGTTTAAAAGCAAAGGAGATACTTAGGTATGTAGGTTTTCAGATTTTACCGAGACACCCTGTATTACTGATATTACGATTATTTTGATCAAACTTCGCGATAAATATTAATTATTTTAACAAGCATAACTAACAACCTCACAAAAACATGTTATCTCGTTTTTCTTAATTAATGGAAAAAATTGGAAAGATTGTATTGAAGAAGTATGCAAATTTCGCGAAGTTAAATACTCTTCGGAACTTAAGCTTCCACGATGCATAATTTATAGAGGCAAATTCTTGAGAAAATTGAAAAGTGAGTAAGATACTCTACAATATTTTTACCTCTTTTTCTTAACAAGCCTGCATTGCATTATGAGTTATGCATATCTATGCACACTTCGATTTCATATAATGATATCCAATAAAATTGACGACATTCATGTAACCGTGCCTGAACAGATAACACTGTTACGTTATCTATAATGCAGGATTTATAAAGGTTAATTAAGGAAAAAATAATAATCTCACGAGAGGAAAAGTGAGATCAGAAAAGATGGAAAAAGGAGGAAAAATGAACAAGGTATAACGCAATATTGTTACTTCTTTTTCTAACAAGCTTTTATTAAATTATAAGTTATGCATATCTGTCCACACAATGGCTGCACAATGATTTCACGTAATGATATGGAATAAAATTGATGACATTCACGTAATCGTACCTGAAAATGTTACACTGTCACGTTATACATCATGCAACTGACATTGAAAGTCAAATGCACGCGAGACCAGCTGAATTAAACGTCTGTCTGATTTTGGACCAAGTTTTTTAAATTGCGTCTACTTAATTTTAACTATGTTCATTCGCATAAAATTTTTTAAGTCTCGCCATTGTCGAATTTCACGAATTCATATCCCAGCATAAGTCTCAAATTCTACCACACTTTCCCATCAAACACACCCCTTTACATTGCTTACATCCCTCGTTCTCAAAACGATCGTCAGCCCTATCAAGACCGTGACACTCAAAAAATTGAAATTTCATCAAAGCACAGATACACATCAAACACACTGCAGTCAGCATTAACCTTAGAAACGAATTCTCCTCACACATACACACATCTCTCGAGCCGCTTATTCTCAAATATCAGATAACGCAACGCTATTCTATTCGTCGAATTGCAAGTTTCACTTCCGGCAGATAGCATGGCTCTCACCCACGCTACAAACTCGCGCTCCGCGTTATATTCGCGAACGAGTTCGTTAATTGACTCTTCTGGGTCAAGCAATATCCCGCGGGATGAACCAGAGAGACGATTCCCCCTGTGGGCGTTCGCAGGTTAGAGCGACGCGTGAATACGCGCGTGGTGCACCGCCCATTAATAACATTAAAAACATCGACCATTAATAACAGCGTGTAACGAGTATAGTTTAAGCGCGGATACCAGCATGTCTTCCTCCTACCAACTTATGCTCTCGTGGGCTTAAACATCTGCATCCCGATGTCGTGATATCACGCCGGCTAAGCTTCTACACAGGGTGTCTCGGTAATCGTGTTTGGTTGAACCAGATTAGAGGGTGAAAAATGAGTCGACGTTGTGCGACAAAGATTTTCCATGCGGGCCTTCGTTTTCGAGAAAATTGATTCGTGAAATTTAGAAGAAGTTCAGTCGACCTTGAAATCGCCTGCGTACTGCATATGTTACATATATAGGATATCACCAAATTACCAGCACGTACAATTCGAACAGGGATGATTCTACATAAAAAAATACATCGGAAATGTAGAGTAAAATTTTTTCATACGAAGCTTCATTTTCGGGTAAATCGACGTTAAAATTTATGGGGTGCGCACGCTACGTACCAGGTGTTCAATTAAAGCGTCGAGAATAATTCATTTTTAAATTTTAGTTTGAAAATTAAACAGATGTGAGATCATCACTTTCAAAGTATGTAGTCCTTTTGAGACAAATTAGGTGAATACAAGGGATGCTCCAACGTTGTGATCGATTTGGAATTTAAAAACTGTTGCTAGAACGGCTGAATGCGTGGGGGCGTTGACATGATGCAAAACCACATATTCACGCGAACCAACTTGCACAATGACTAAAACAATTGACAATGTTTACCTTTCGCATACCGGTAGAGGGAGGATCAGATTGCACAGCGGTGAGACGTAACTTTACATTGTTGCCACTCTGACGAAAACAAAATTATTCTCTTTATTGTTACACCTTGTATATATCCTTTCTAATTTTTCCTTTTAATAATTAAGTACGAAGAACGAAACAAAAGCATGTTTCGCTTAAGAATTCTTGTTTTGTTAATATGAAAATTGACAGAAATACTACCATTTTTTTTTTTTTATAAAATAATTCCACCCGGTATATTGCATTCGTACAAGTACACTCAACGAATCTTCAACGTCGATTTACTCGAAATCGGAGCTTTCTATGAAAAACTATTACTCCACATTTTTCACTTATTTTTTCCCGTAGAATCATGTATGGGTTGAACCACCAGTTCGGTGACACCGTGTATATACGCGTGCTGCCTACGTAAGTAAGTAGGTGGGTCGGTGGGTAGACCGTTTGCGTATTAAGTGCGTTCGCAGCTACGACTCGATGAATGTGCTGTTCTCGCGCACTGGCTACGAGGCGGACAGATTTCCTTTTCCTTCGAGAATTTCATCGCCCCCGAAACACTTCTCTCCCTTTCTTCGTAGACGTTTCGAGATCGCCTCGAGCGGAGGACGCGTTCGTCGAATGGCTGAACACACGGTCGTAATCGTGCTGATAACTTCAGCAACCACTTCTGAACTTGTTAGATTACTGTTATGATCTTGTGTTTGGTTCTAGGGAAATTTAGAGAGACCAAACTTGATTTCTGGAACAATGTAAAATTGTTTAATTAGTTTCTTAATCTTCTGGAGAATGTTCTACGATCGCAAATTAACCGTTTAACTACGAAAGGCGTGTATACAAGGTATAGGATGATTTCCTGTGAAAAAATGAACCAAAATGTGGAATAAAATTTTTCGACGCAATCCTTCATTTTATGAGAAAATTGCCCTTGAATATTCGGTGGAGTTCCAATAAATTTGTCATTGCAATTGACTTGTTCGTAATGTTTTTTTTTTTGGTGCTTGCCATGCAAATTTCTTTGATTCACTGTGCAAAGTACCGCGTAACAGCAGTTATATAGTATATTTCTATCGATGAAAATTACTCCTTCAAGCGGTAACAAAAAGGTGTAGAAAGAGTAAATTGACGTTTTGAGACGAAATGTCGCACACCATCCGGAAAGATCATTACGAACCGTTCAATTAAGACTTATTATGGATGCGTTACGGTTCCCTGCAATAAAACAACTTTGAATAAGCTACGCCCTTTAAGTCCTCTGTAACCACTGAACATTCTGGCATGCGTTCCGCAACGAATAATTACGCGTAGAATAATCAATTAAAGATCGAGGAAACGCGATGTAATTCACCTCGGTGAAATAACCGAGAAAAATCACTGTTTATTTCTCCCTTCCTTTTTCTCAATTTTCTAATCACATATATCTGTTTTATTCAAATGAAATACATTTAAGCGAAACTTCCAGTTTAAGGAAGAACGAGACACCGATATTATACGTACCCTTTATCTGCAATATCTTCACTACGATAAATAATAAAATTTCAAATACAACAGGAAGAAAATTTCGATTTCTAAGCGGGTGGTCTCATATCTCAAGCCAAGAACTCACTAATCACCATATTCCCTGAAACATACGATCAGAAACAACCGATAAGAATCAAATCCTTAATTCCTGTACTTAAACACAGATATCCCCTGTGGTATCTAGAACGAAGTAAATACAGTTACGAATGACCGTCATTTCTCAAGTGTAAAGTCTGAAACAGTGGTCAAAGCGAGCACTACGGCCGAACAAGATAGAGGAACAGCTCGTGAGATCATGATCGTCGTGAAGTTTTCGTAAATAACAGCAGAGCCAATGGTATCGTCGTTTTTTTTTTCGACAAACACTTTCTAATCTGTATTTTTTTTTGGAAGTACTGACAAGTAGTACTGCCAAGTAATTTTCATCTTAGAAAGTTCAACGGCTTTGGTAGTTCCGACTAATCCTCCTGGCGACAAATATGGCGGCGGCGTTAGTGGTAGCTAAGGACAGTGCTGCAATAAAATTAGGCTACC